CCGCTATTCAGTGGGAAGGAAAATCTCTAACAGATGATGCCAAAGCACTTGGGGCATTTTCTGCATCAATCTCCACTCAGTAAGACGGATTAGCTGGCTAATGTAACTCATATCACAGCAGAAGGAGCAAAAGCACGAGCCAGAACTGGGAAATGCATTACAGCAACTGCTCCAAACCTCCCGAGCCAGCAAAGCCGAGACTCTGAATTTTCCATGCAGATTTATCGGGAAACTTCAAACAGAAAGCACAGTAAAGGCAATATGCAATTGCAGGCAACTTAATGAGCCTCCATAAACCCATGGATGTGTAGTCCATAAACCTGTGGACTATTTCCAGGGGTTATATTAAGAGTACTTCAAGGTTTTCAGTTCTGGTAGGTGCGATATTTACCCTTTGAAAACGGACAAAGGCAGATCATCTCTGCTCTCTGCATTAAGTGCCAACAACCTAGAGAAGGACAAAAGCACCTGCCTCTAAAGAGCAGGAAACCAAACACACAGGGAAACACAAACCAGAGTCAGGCTCACCATCAGTCCCTGGGAAGATGTCGAAATAATCAGACAAATTACCTCTTTCAGATAATGAAGTAGATAAGATTCAACACACAATTTCTTAGGAAAAAAAAATCACATCAAAGGAATATAATTCTATCCAATGACACAGTAACAAAGTAGGTAGCAAAACAGCAATTACAGGCAAAATAGTTTTGGTTTAACAGGATTTTTGACACTCTTAAACTGACAGTCATATAACTGAAACAAACGCAGAACACACTGAAGTACTGGGAGATGATTAGAACCCCACACCCAGAGATAAGCTGCCATTATTTCAGTCAAGAGAGAAAATTGATAGCAAGCCCATTCACATGGCTCCAATCTTTTCTCATTCTCCACTGCTACAGAAAGTAACCAGTGCAAGAGGGTTATTCAGCAAGGAGCTCACTGCAGGCAACTCCATATTTTGCTCTGCCTTGGTGTGATTTCTTTCTTTTACAAGAAAGATCTCCCTGACAACATTTTGTCTACAAACTACACATTGGAAAATATGGGGGCAGTAACAGAGGATAATCTGGGACAGTTTCAAAAGCTTGGATGGAGGAACTCAGAATCTAAAGTCACTTGAACCAAGTGCAAAAGTCACCTGAAGTAACATGTTGTTTAACAGAGCAAAAACATAATAAATTGCAAAACACAACATGGAAGGCAAAGTTAAATTCTGTTCTGCCCATGGATATGCTGGGTGGCAAAGGGCTAAAGAATCTGGGCTTATCCTGACAATAAATCAAACATGTCACTGCAAAAAAATAAAGACTCATCATCCTGCCTGTACGAAATGCATGTGAAATCATGTAAAATCATGTGAATCGTGTGAAAAGCACATGAAATAATTTTGACTCTGGCTGATGTACTAAGGACTCAGAGGGAACAGCAGGTCCAGTTCCAGCAAAATTCAAACCAAGTGGAAAAGGCCTCAAGAAAAACAGTGAGAACAGACCACAGACGTATTAAAAAATAATTTCTAAAAAAATCACTCTAGAGAGGAGACTGAAGGAATGGGATTTCTTCAGAGTGGAAAACTCCAAAGAGAAAGCCCCCAAAACATGCAATGCATTCCTGCAGAAGAGGTGTAATCAAGAGTTCACAAGGTATACTTCATGTTAGAACTCTTAAATGTTTAAGTTATAGCAAGTAAATGTAGACTGGAATTTAGAAGTATTTTCAATGGTAAGAATAGCAAACTATCAGAATGGATTGCCTAAGGATAAATCTCCACCAGAAACTTCCTTTAGCTCACTTGCTTTGAGAACTAGCTAAACATTCCTTCCTTGTGCTTGAAACACAGTGAATTTATGGGAGAAAAAATGTCAATTACCTCCCTTTTTCCCCCTCCCTTCATTCACAAGCGGATCATCTGAGCTTCCAGGTTCTGGATTAGTTATTGTGAGAATTTATTAACCATTACTTTGAAACAACTTCCAGCACAAAACCTTTGTAACATTTTATGGAAACAGTAATAAAACCACAACCTTAAAGAAGCTATGGGAAGGAAAATGCAGAGGGAAAGTGACACACTTGAACCAGATCAAGATGGAGAGTCCTTAATTACAACAAAACCAAAGAAATGCAGAGATTCTACTCTGCAACAACAGAGGTGCAAACAACAAGAGCTGGGGGAAGCAGAGGCAGAAGTCGTGCAGAAACAAGAAGCAAGGCAAGGACATCAACGCCAAACACGGTGTCAGCAGCTGCACCCACCAAAGCACAAAACACCATTTTCTCAAGTAAAGCTCAGCTACAAACAACCAACAACAACAACAACAACAAAATAAATAAATAAATAAATAAAACCACAACAACAAAACACAGGGAACCAAAGCAGGAAAGGAAACTGAGACGTGCTGTCCTCTGCTGGAAGAGGCTCTGGATGAGCCTGAAAGCAGAAGATCATGAAGACCACAAGTCCTTTGATCTTCACTGAATACCAGACCGAGGGATCATTTTAAATCTGCTCTGTTTTGCCTAAATTTGGCTGTTGCTTGTTGAGCTTCAGCTAATGCTGCACTTGGACACAGAGAGCACCCCTGTCACCAAAGGGACACTCCTGATGCCACCTCTCCTGCACCACCACCACCAGGAGATCCACACCTTCATGGCAACACAAGTGCTTGTGTGGCCACAGAGAACAGGATCAGGGAACAGAATGGAAGGTAACACTTTTTCTACTTTTTCCTAAGACAGTAAGATAAATCCTTTCTTGCAATTCAGTTCCTTCATTCGCAGTATCAAGTTCACTTCCAACACAGTATTAAGTCAAGTAAAAGCTTTCAGGCTGGGTGTTTTGAATGTAATTCACATGTAGCTTAAAAAGTATAAAAATACATCACAGGAAAGATGAAAAGACACAAAAGCTCCAAACAAAAATAATCAGGAAAAAAAAAAACAGAAAGGGCTGCTATTGCAGTATGAGGCTTCTATCATGGACATCCAGAAAGAATGTAGAGTACAGCCTTTTAAACTTCCACATTAAGGATGATCTCCAGGTCTGAAAGTGAATGAGTTCAGACTATCTGCAACTTAAATCAGGTAGAGCCAGTGCTGGGAATTATCTAAGGGTTAAGCTTTGGGGGGAAAGGGAAAAAAAAAAAAAAGGCATAATTCTTCTTGGAAAAAAAAAAAAAGAAATGAGTGAACACGACCATCTGCACTGGTTCACTGGAGGGTTTTCAAAACTTCAGCAAAGCATTCTTCATTCAGGAGAATGAACGCGTTAAAAGGATACAACAAAACACCTCTTTTTTATGTTTCTTATGTTTCTCAACTATTCGAGCACAGCGTTAAATACAAATAAGAAGCGTTTAAGTCGATGAGAAATTTATTTTCCTCTGCGTTACCGGCCTCGCACCCCGAAGCCCCGCAGCCCTGCGGGACAGGAGCCTGTCCCAGCCACACGCCGGGTCCCGTGGGCTCCCGCCCGCTTCCCCCCAGGAATTTCGCTGCACAGAGGGAAGACCCGCACCGGACCCAGCTCGGCCTGACCACGGAGGCCGGGGGAGGAACCGGCGGCACGAGGGGCCCGCCGCCGCCCCGCAGATACCGCCCCCACCCCCAGCCCGGCCGGGACAGCGACCCCTCCCCCGGGGCCCGCCGCCCGGTGCCCCCGCGGCCCGGCCGCACTCACAGCGTGTGCCCGCAGACGTTCACCATGAGCTTGAGCGAGGGGTTGCGGTACTTGGTGGTCTTGCAGCGCGGGCAGCCCAGGTCGTCCATGGCCGCCCCAGCCCCGCTCCCTCCGCCCGCCGCGCCTTCCGCCTTCCGGTGCCGCCGACAAACGGCCCCGGCGCCGCCCGCCGCCGCCCCGCGCGTTCCGCGGCCCCGCCGGGCTGAGCGGGTGCGAGCGGGCCGGCAGCGCCCGTCCGGCCGTGGGGCTGGGGCTGGGGCTGCGCCGGCCCCAGAGAGCCGGCTGTAATGGGGGAGAAGGCGGCACTGGCCTACGAGTAACCAACAGGAATCGCTGAGAGTCAATTGGGTTGGAAAAGACCCCCGAGATCCTCGAGTCCAACCTGTGCCCCAACACCACCGTGTCAACCAGACCATGGCACCGAGTGCCACGTCCAGTCTCTCCTTAGACACCTCCAGGGGCTGTGGCTCCACCACCTCCCTGGGCAGCCCATTTCGGTGTCTAATCGCCCTTTTTGTGAAGAAATTCCTCCAGATGTCCACCCTAAGTCTCCCCTGGCACAGCCTAACGATGTGTATCATCTTCTCGTCCTGTCACTTGTTACCTGGGAGAAGAGACCTACTCCTAGATATCTACAATCTCCTTTCAGGTAGTTGTAGAGAGCGATAAGGTCACCCCTGAGCCTACTCTACTCCGGGCTAAACGCCGCTCCAGCCCCTTCCTCAACTCCATTGCTCCTTCTCTGAACACGCTCCAGCACCTCAATGACTTTATTGAAGCGAGGGAGCCCAGAACCGGACGCAGCGGGGTCCCTTCACGCCACAACCCGTCCCAACCGAGGTGCCTCACCCCGGGGCAACCACAGCACCGGAGAAAGTTCACCGCCTGCCCCATCCAGGGCGAGCCGCAGGTGCCGGGACCCGCCGCCGCCGCCCGCCCGCGGGGGCTCCAGGTGGAGCCGTGAGGGGGGGAGCGGCACGGGGCGCGCGCCCGTTTGATTGACGGTTGCCATGGAGACGGGCGTGGCCCCGCCCCTCCCGGCGCAGCGCGGCCCAATAGGCGGGCGCGGCCCGGGCAGCGGTGGGCGGGGCCACATAGTCTTGCGGCGGGTGCGGGAGCCGCGGCGGGGGGAGCGGCGGGAGCGCGGCCGGGACACAGCGCCGGTCCCGGATGGTCACTGCGGGGCCGCGGGGAAACCTGATCGGCTGCAGCGGGAGGAGGAGAGACAGATAGGGAAAGGGGGGAGAGGAGGAGAGAAGGGGACGCCGCGGGGGGGGGGGGGGGGGGGGGGAGGGGCGGGGGGGCGGGACCGGGGGAAGAAAGAAAAGGGGGGGAAAAAAAAAAAAGAAACGAAAAAGGAGGAAAAAAAAAAAATTAAAAGGAAAACTAAACCGAAACATGTCTTCTGCCTCCCCCGCCACGGACGACATCGTGATCGCGGTGGAGATCAAGGAGGAAAATGTGATGGAAATGCTCTCGGAAGCCCCCGAGGCGCCCGCGCCGCCGCCCCCTCCCGCCGCTGCCCCGTTCCCCATGGAGCACGCAGGCTCCGCCGCCGCCGGTGAGGAGGGAGCCGCGGAACAGGTACTGCTCCACACTGAACTCCTGGCCAGGAACCACCACGCTGCCTCCTCTCCCTCCTCTTCATCTTCCTCCTCCTCCTCCTCCTCCTCCTCGCAGACCCCTCTGGCTTTCTCCCCGGACCACGTCGCCTGCGTGTGCGAGGCGCTGCAGCAAGGTGGGAACCTGGACCGCCTGGCCAGGTTCCTGTGGTCTTTGCCCCCGAGCGATCTGCTACGTGGCAACGAGAGCCTGATGAAAGCCCGGGCGCTGGTGGCTTTCCACCAGGGCATCTACGCCGAGCTCTACAGCATCCTGGAGAGCCACAACTTCGACTCCTCCAACCACCCGCTGCTGCAGGAGCTCTGGTACAAGGCTCGCTACACCGAGGCGGAGCGAGCCCGGGGCAGACCTTTGGGGGCGGTGGACAAGTACAGGCTCCGGAGGAAATACCCCCTGCCCAGGACCATCTGGGACGGCGAGGAGACGGTCTACTGCTTCAAGGAGAAGTCCCGCAACGCGCTGAAGGAGCTCTACAAGCAGAACCGATACCCCTCGCCCGCCGAGAAGCGCAACCTGGCCAAGATCACGGGGCTGTCCCTCACCCAGGTCAGCAACTGGTTCAAGAATCGCAGGCAACGGGACCGCAACCCTTCCGAGACCCAGTCCAAAAGGTGAGGGAAAAGTTTTTCCTCCCCGCCCCCCTCTCCCGCCTGCCTTTCCCTCTCCCGGCTCTTTCTTCCCTTGCAAACATGGCGCTTACCTTCGGTGCGCCTCGTCCTCCCCTCCTTCCTCCTCCCCGCTCCCTCGCTCCCCACACACCCACCCGGCCCGGCCGTGCGAGGCGGCGCGGGGGAAACTTCCCGGACCCGCTTGCCCCGCGCTCCCGGGGCAGCTCCCGGCCCGGGGGAGCCGCCGGGCGGGCTCCTGGGAGGACACGGGACGGGGGGTGTTTGCGTGTGTGTGTGTGTGTCCCCCCCCGGGTCCTTGTTTTTATTCAATTGTCGCGCCTGACAGAGTTAATCATTGACGGCCGGAGGACGCGCGGGGTCCCGGCGCTCCTTCTGTTTTGAAACCTGACTCGGGAGCGGGCCGGGCTCGGGTTTCAGCGGGGGAGCGGGGCCGGTTCCCGGGGCTCCCGGGCGGGAGAGCGGCCCCGGCCCGGCCCCGCTCCGCCCGCGGCTCGGGCTCGGCTCCCCCCTCCCCGCCGCGGGGGCGCGGGCAGGTGGAGGTGACCTTCCCCCTTCTCCCCCCGCCTTCCCCCCCGGGAAGGGACGGGAAAGGGGGGAGAAAGCGCGGGGAGAAGGAGGGAGGGAGGAAGGGAGCGGGGAGGGAAAGGAGGGAAAGCGGCCGGCGGAGGGGGCCCCAAGGCATTTCTCAACCAAGGGCGCGATTGTGCCGCCGCGGCCCCTCTCCGCGGGACACATCAAAGGGCGAGGGGGGAGGGAGCGGGCAGGGGGGGGGAGCGACCGAAAAATGCAGCCGAGGGCGGACCAGTCAGCGAAAAAACCCCGACGCAGCCCCGGGCGGAGGCACAAAGGCCGCCCCCCAAGCCTCTGTCCCTCCCCCGGCCGCCGGGCACGGCCGGAGGTGCCTCCGGGGGCAACGCGGGCCGGGGTTCCCCCCCTTCCCCCGGGCCGGGGGCGGCGGGCAGAGCCTTCCCGGCCTTCCCTCACCTCCCAGCGCTTTGCCAAATGGCCGCGGCCGACTCTCACACGTGTGGACACCCCGCGCCGGGCAGCCCCCTCTGGCCGCCGGGATGGAGGAATTTATTTACAACTCCATAACCCGAGTCTGTAAAGTTTCTCCTCGGCGAGTGTTTGGCTTGATGTGTTCTTTTCCAAGAAACCTCCTCCCCCCCCCCAATTTGGCTTGAATATTCGTTTAAAGTGCCTTGTAAAGGCAGAAAAAAAACGTTCGTGGAAACTCTCGCAAACTGTGTTAAAGCCTTGGTGCAGAGATCCTGGCATGCCGTGGTAATGCAATGTCATGTCTCCATCTTTTCCCATAGCGAGTCAGATGGCAACCCTAGCACAGAAGATGAATCCAGTAAGGGACAGGAGGATTTATCTCCCCATCCACTCTCCAGCTCATCCGATGGCGTTACCAGCCTCAGCCTTCCTGGCCACATGGAGCCCGTCTACATGCAGCAGCTTGGAAACACTAAAATAGCCTTGAGCTCGTCTGGTGTCTTGCTGAATGGAAACCTCGTGCCTGCCAGTACCTCTCCTGTCTTCCTCAATGGTAGCTCTTTTCTTCAGGGACCCAACGGTGTCATACTCAATGGACTCAGCGTGGGCACTTCGCAGACAGTTACCTTAAATTCACCCAAAACTGCGTCGAGCATTGTGAGCAACGGGGTGTCCATTACTGACATAATATCATCGTCATCAGAAGATGTTAAAGACTTCAAACTCCTTCAGGCTTCTGTCCCCAACGCCACAGCAGCCACATTCAGCCCTAGCAACATCCCGGTCTCTTTCCCAGGATTGATACCGAGCTCAGAGGTGAAAAGGGAAGGCGTAGAAACTGCTACTTCCCAAGATGGAGGCTCTGTAGTTACTTTTACTGCTCCTGTCCAAATAAACCAGTATGGCATTGTCCAGATCCCCAATTCAGGAACAAATGGCCAGCTGCTGAACGGAAGCATTGGTTTTTCTTCTCTGCAGCTGCCTCCTGTTTCTGTGGCAGCTTCACAAGGTAAAAGTTTTGTCTCTTGCAGTAAGAGGTATGAGGAAAAAGTTGGAATCAGGCACACTTGGCATTTTAGAAGCTGTGATCCTTTTTCTCAAAGGTACCAGGGTTGTATCTCTGCCATGGCCACACACAGAACATCAAATAACATCAAATAATACCTTTTGCTTCCTTTTATAGTGGGTTATGCTCGTGGGCAGACTGTTAGATGAGGCTGAGCTCTGCTAAGACCAGGGAAGGAGGTCTGGTAATTTACACCGCTTTCATCTCATGCTGTTCACAGAAGTCTGTGATACCAATCTTCACAAATATCTGTAAATTTTACACGTTTCAGTAGTCAAAATATTCCCCATTTACCACTGAATTCTTCCAATGAGAAGGTTCATAAAAATGAAAATTGCGGCAGCTGGAAATTGTTACAGCTGTTGCCCTTGTGGCGGTTGTTTTGGTTTTTTGTTTTTTTAACCAAAGCATGTCATAAAAACACATATTAAATTATTGTAGACACAACAAGACCAAGTAGTTACACTTGTACATTTTCTGTTCCATAATTAAGAAAGATTAAACTTGAGGGAAGCAATCGAAGTAAGCAATAGCTCGTAGATGTAAAATGTGAGGGTATTTGGATAAAGCTACCCTCAGTCCAAGGGAAATATGTCATCACAGGTTCACGTGCCAAGTGTGCAGGCTCCTCCCCGAGTTTGCTTTAGAGTTTGTCTTAACATACCATAGACTGAACATTGCAGCCAGCCAGGAAGAATCCCAGGGAGCACAAACCTGGTTCTGTATCCTTGTTTTGAAGCGGGTCAGTTAAAATGCAGAACTGAGCAGCTTTGTTACTTACTAGACACTGTATGTTTGGTTATGAAAATGATTAAATTGGAATGAATCTCTTTAGTTTCGGGAGCTGTGAATCCTGTAAGGAAAATCAAATTGTGCTCATGTACTTCTTTGAATTAAATGTGTATAGGGAGTGAATTATTCTTGCTGGAGCACGGAGAGGAACACTGGAGCTGTACAAACACATTTTAAATGGGTGCACAATTATAAACTCCTAAAATGTGGCACTCACAGGCACTGGAAGTTACTGGTACATAGTTTAACCAAGATTAAAGAGAGAAGACATTTAGTCTGAATGCCACCTGTAATTACAAAAGCCACTTAATCCACATGCTCCAAGGCATAAACTGACAGTCAGCAACGGTGAGAAAGTTCTGTCCCCTGAGTAATGTGGGAGTATTGTGCTTGAAAGTCCTCAGATTCATAATAAGCTCCTCTCTTTTTAACATTTTCCCCATTGTTAAAAATGCTGATTCCCACTGGAGAGTGGTCCACCATATGTCTGGTGCAGAGAAAAGTTTTGGGTTTTTTTAACATGAGATGGATGGATAGCTGGCTGCCTATTCCAAGTGAAGCATGCTGCAGGCTATTTTAAGTAAGCCACAGTAAATAATACTGACAGGTAACTTCAAATTGCCTCACTTTATTCTCTGGTTTACACATATGCGTAACACCTTCCAAAAAATTATCATTGATAAACCGAAATTGATAGGGAGATAAAATGTTTCCCATGTGAGAAATTCATCTTTGCTGCACTTCTGAAAACTTCAGGTGCATCCAACTGTAGCTTTCTATAATTAAACTGCTTTGGAGAAAGAGAGGTGTTTGGAGTGGGACCCAGTGCCAAGAGCCAGTATTTCTTATTTTAGGAGGTATCATAATGACAACTTACATGCTATGTCCAGTAAAAACAACTTCAGGTCATCTCTGGCCACCTCTCCTTGCTTTGGCTCACTGCAACATCACGCGAGCAGTGCTGTGGCTTTCAGCAAGGGGAGGCAGTGCTGGGTGACTCTACACAGTGTGGTGGATGTGGCAGGGTTAGGATTTTAGAAATATGTGATAAAGCAAGGTGAAAGGCAATAGATCCGACTGCTTGACAGACTACCTCATTAAACTGATAGAAATTACCGGTTTTTCATGTTTTCTGTGCAGGTTGACTCGGGCAGGCTCTGCCCAGCAGGAGTGGATTTCATGTGACGTGTCTCCAGTTCCCACACACAAGCTGTAGTCTGTCACTGAACTATCTTTAATAGCTTTTCATGCTTCTATTCTTAGAAATGGAGTGGTGGCAACTAGTGAAGGCCAAAGCACGTTCATTTCAGTCACATGGCTGGGGACTGTTTGCCCCTAACTAGAGTCTGAAAGATACCTCATATACCAGAACCCTTTTGTTTGTTTGTTTTTCTTTCTAGAAACTGTTTTTGTTAACAGCTTTTATTTCTTTATACCAACCTCGTTTTCACCTGTTAAAGAAATTGCTGTTCAGTGTTGTGTGAGATATTAGCATACCTATGTACTGCAAACATAAAAAAGACCAGAACTTCTTACAAAAATACCTGCACAACTCTCTGCCAGCTGTAATCTCTGTTTTGCTTTCTTTTGCTTCCCTTTCCCTAGGTAATGTTTCAGTAAATCCCAGCACATCTGATGGAGGAACTTTCACAACTGACTCTTCAACAGTGCAGCAAGGAAAGGTTTTCTTCAGCCCCCTCGCTCCGAGTGCAGTGGTTTATACAGTTCCCAATTCGGGCCAGGCAGTAGGCTCTGTCAAGCAAGAAGGACTGGAAAGAAGCCTGGTGTTTTCTCAGTTGATGCCAGTCAGTCAGAACACACAATTAAACGTAAACATGTCTTCTGAAAATATATCCAGCGGAGGACTCCAGTCCCTGGCCTCCTCGTTAGTGAATGTAACGCCCTCCCATAATTTTTCCCTCACGCCACCAACTCTTTTAAATGCTGCAGAACTGAACTCTGGTATCTCAGAGAGCCAGTCCATGTCATCACCCGTGACCAGTACCTCTACAGTGATATCTATCAGCAACACTAACTATGCAACCCTTCAGAACTGTTCCCTCATTACCAGTCAAGATCTGTTGTCCATTTCCACTGCACAGCCCGTGCTTGGAGAAATAGTTTCTACGAGCGGAGACCGTGTCAGCCACCCCTCTGCACAAGTACACCAGGATTTTGGCAGGGAGCACAGGTTAGTCCTGCAAGCCGTACCTGACGTCAAAGAGAATTTCTTACCTAATTCTGAGAGCAAGTCAACTGGCAATTTAATGATGCTGGATTCCAAATCCAAGTATGTTATGAGTAATATAGTTGACACAGTTTGTGAAGAACTGGAAACGGACAAAAAAGAACTTGCCAAACTGCAGACAGTTCAGATAGATGAAGATATGCAAGACTTGTAACTTTTTTTTTTCCCCTTGCTTTCTGTTTTAATAGATAAGTCTCCTGTTGAGGCCCTAACAAGCACCGAGTGGGGTGTTTGGTGTTGGTTTTTTTTTTGTTTGTTTGGTGTTTGTTTTTTTTTCATTTAAAGAAACCAGAAGAACATTTGAATGGTCTGAATTGATGTACAGAGGAATTTCCAGCAATGGAATTAGGTTGCCACACTTGGTTTGCATGCAGTATTCTCTTTTAAGCAGATTAAAGGAGAAGGGAAATGCCAAGGCAAGTACTGAGTGAATGGGTACAGGCTACCAGATGCTACCCTGAAAATTTAACTAGACTCTCCATAGTACAACATACTCTGAACAGTAAGTATACACTCCTAACTTCAGATAGAAAAATCTCGCTCCAAAACCGTAGGAACAATGCAGTCACTTTTGCTGTTTACTTCCAGTCCATGGGCATTGAGAAATTTTCAAGGAACTCTAGACGATACCTCTCCGGCTACTTTTATGTTGTTTGAGGTTAAGAAATGAAACAAAGTCACGAATAATATTGTTACTGGTGTGTTTGCTTTTTATCCAGCAGACTTGCGTTCAAACCAAAAATCTCACATCAATCATGTACAGGTCTCTAAATGCTGCAGCGAGCATTTTGTCAGTGCACCAGAAAAAGCATCATTTGAAACTCTAATTATGCAACTCAGAAGCTTTCTCTCCAGTATGAATGTAAATATTGTTTCAGTTCTTATAAAGGAGACTTTTTTTTTTTTTAATTAGTACAATGGATTTTATTTATGGTTTATGTTCCCTTTCACTTTAGACACAATGCATTGAAAAGGAAAACGTTTTCTGGCTGTTTAATTTATTTTTATTGTTTGAGCAGGAAGTAAGCGTAGTTATTTCTGACAAGGTTTTACTTTTTTTGTAGTTTTTTTCAAGCAATAGACTGTAAAAGTAAAATGTTAATCACACTGAAACTAGAAAATGAATTCCCAGTCTCACAAACCCAGGAGGTCACTGTCTCTACCCCCTCTGTCTTTGTGTTCAGGGGTTTTTTTGTTTGTTTTGTTAGTAATTTGCGAATTAGTTGAACCTTTTTGTGTATTTTTTACAGAATTCCATGTGCCTTTCTTTCTAGTGGCCTTATCTTTGTTACTAAAGCACAGTGGCAGGAGGCATAAAAACACTGATTTGCAAATATCCGTCCTCAGGGCCAAATCCTGATGCCTTACTTCTGCAGGTAGACCCTCTGACTTGGGTACTTGCACGAGTAAGAAGAGAAATTTTAAGTCTTCTGGACATCGTGGGTGACATTTACTGGCGGTGCAGAGAGCCAGAGGTGGGTCCTTCCTCACCAGGGCAGGAGGAGTCTGGAGAGGAATCATGGGCACAGCTGTTGTGCCAAGGGAAAGGTCTTGGCTGCAGCCTCGGGCAGATGAGCAGGAAGGGTTGGATGGGCAGGCCAGGGAGGGGAACCCAATGTTTACACGGGCCCATTGGCCAAATAGCCCGTGTGGGAGGGATTCGGCTGCTGGTTGAGCAAGCAGGTCTCCATCCAGGAGTGTTCTTGTGTGTGTATTTATAGATCTTTCCAGGATGAGCAGCCTGAGGGCTGATGGTGGGAACTGCAGCTCTGAAGGGCTCCTGGCAGCAGCCATGGTCCCTGCCTGGCTGGGGATGGGTCTCCACACCTTTCTCCCCAAGGACAGCAGAAGCAGGTGGGCTCTGGGCAGGTGGAACAGATCTTACCTTTCCTCCAGAGGAGTTTTTTTTTGTAGCATGGGAAAGCACGTCCTTAAGCTTTAAAATAATAAGAAGAATGCAGATGTACAAAAATGACATGCTGTTAATCCTTGCGGTCTTGTTTTGTTATTTTTTTACTCTAATGTGAATATATACAGTAACTAAAGCATGTGTTTATCCTCATCAGGGGCCTGGTCTGAAGCCTTTGGAAGGCAAGGGGAAATCTTTTCATAAGCTTCTGTGGGCTCCGAATCAGGCTCAGGACAAAACAAGGTCACTTGTAAAGGACAAAAAAATGGAAAGGAAGGATGATTGAGGCAGCACATCCCAGTCTGTTTGCCTTGGCTGTAACTGGTTCTGTGGAAAGCCTTTGAGGAATGAAGGTTCTTCCGTGCACCGTGCGCGTGGCATCGGTGCTCTCGCTGCAGTTTTGCACTATATTGAATACAGCGCGTTTTCCAAGGTTTTCTGTGGAACCTTGAAGCTGAGCCCTGTTGGTGATCACTGGAGTCCGTGCTGCAAGCTGGAGTCCCTAGGGCTGCAGGGAAAAGGGCAGGGAAAGGGAAGAGCAAGTGTGCAAGGGGTGCACTTTGCAGCTGTACGGCCTCGCTGGTTCTCTGCAGACAGAAGCAGCCCATTAGCAGTTGGCTGTCCCCACATGCTCCCAAACAAACAGGGTGCTTGAGGCAAGCGCTTTAAAGCAGAGATTATCACAAGCAGAACATGGAGCTGTATGTTCCCCTGGCACAACTTTCCCTGACGTTCAGGGGAGCTCCGCGTGAGCAGGGAATCGGATAGGCCGGAGTTCTCCTGTCTGCTCTGCTTGTTTATCTGCTTGCTGGGCCCCAGCATGAGCAATCTGCTTCCCACCTCTTCTTCACCCATAAAACCAAGATGGTGATGACAGTAACAGTAATAGTAGCTGTAAATGCTTTGCATGAAATTGTTCGGCCATTTGGAAAATTAGAAATACCCTATATCATTGTCATTTTAATGAAGAATGTGTGCTTGGTTCTGATGGAGTTCACTGAGGCTTAATGTTTGGTTTGTGAAGCTCAGACTATATTTGGAGGCAAGCTAGGGAATATTTCAGAGCACCTGTTGGTGAGATCAGGTCTTATAACTGAAAAGACTGTGGTGTTACACTAGTACCTGTTACTCTTTTTTTTTTCCTCCTTTGCATTCGTTGTGTTACTGAGGCTCTGAATTCCATGGCTTTGCAGCACAGTTGACATGAAAACTGTGTATGTTGTTACAGTGGCATGTATCTTGGAGTGTCTGGTACTTCTAATAGGAGACTTCCCACTCTTCAGTGGGAGTGGAGGATGTACATAAAAGCAGTGGTTTGGGACAAAGTAAGATTAATCTATTCTAGTCTTCCAGATATCAAGTAACTTATTATTATCTTTTACTCTTTCTTTTTCACATTGAAAATAAGTGTCATTCCCTCCAGATAACGTAGTTATAACCTCATGTTTTCTGCAGGTACATATGCACAATATAAAGACTCATTGCACGGTACAATGTTTTTAAAATAGAAATTTAAATAAGTAGTTTTACTCCTTATCAAGGTTAAGTTTTTATTATGTGGCCCTCAAGCAAGCAGGGTAACTGCTCTAAATAGACAATAATCAAAGCCCTGAAAAGTGTCCAGGGATGGATCCTTGGCTGCTGTAAATAAGGCATTACTCCACTGATTCCCAAACCCAGGATTTAACGTGGTGTTTAGGGGGTATGGATGCTGGTCTCCCACACATGTGAAGGCAGTGAGTGTCCAAGCCCCACAGACAGCCCTTATTATCACATTCTGTTGTTTAAATGGAAGGTATGTCTATCTGGCATACACATTCCTTCTCCTCCCTCCCTCTCTCTCTGTTATGGATGAGAATAAAGGATCATTTCAACTTTACATATGTTTGTAACTTGTAAGTCCACTGGTAATCTTACAGGAAACATTGCCAAATTCTACTACTTTTTTGGTCCCAGACTCAGCTTTGAAAACTACGCTTAAAGTTTAAGCAAATTCTTACAAAGCACGATGTTAAAAACCCCTCTGTTCTTTACTGCTTTTGATTAAAGCTGCCTCTTTTCCACCCAGATTTTTGCAGAAAACTTGTTAAATTGAATGCTCTGTCTGGACTATTTGCAGCATTATTCCTGTAGTCTTACCTACAAGGACATTTCAGCAATGTAAATATCAAGGACATCTGATGGCCAGGTCCTCAGCTGGGCTACACTAGCACATTTCCATTAATGTCCTCTCATACCAGCTGGGAATATGGTCCATTCATTTCACTGGTGTTAGGTCAGGGACGAATTTGGCCCCGTAGATGGTGGCAGCATGAACCAGAGCACAAGGCTGACACTTTGGTAAAACCAAACAGTCACAGTCTATCAAAGCATATACCTCTTCCCATTTACTGCTTTTCCCTATCTGTGGATTCAGGAAGACACATTCAGAAAGCAACTTTACCCAGAAGTAAGACTGGAACTGTCTTTATTGTTATTACCGTCAATCTGATGTTGATGATAATAATGGGCAGGTTCTGACTTCAAATCCTGAAAAATCACCTCAATAACTATTTTCAGTTAAATTAAGCAGGGCAGAATTTGGCCCTGTGTGCACAGGAGCTTTTCACACACAGAGATTTCCAGTGCCTGTGCACTTTCCTTAGCAAAGGCAGATGAACAAGAGGGTGCATCTCTCCAGTTTCATATGAAATGTGTGTGCAGGACTCTGGGGGGCATGAATTGCCTAGTGCTTGTGGTCAAGAAGTATGTCAAATCATCAAAAGAATAGTAATTTTATAATTCTGGAAACAAAAATTGTGTTATTTTACTAGCAAGGATACCTGAAGTCTTCCTGTATCTCCTAGCAGTTATTACCTTGAAGGATATTTTATACCTTAGTTGTATGTTTCATATAATTTAAAACTTGCTTCTTAAATTTCTGAACTCAAGGAGGGGGGGGGGGGGAGTGAATTTTCTGACTTTCAGGATTCACATTCAGAGGATGTTTGTTCTTTTTGCTGCATGTACTGTTTGTCCAGAACACTAACCAGTTACTTCTCCAATATGGGTTTATTGTGCCTTACAACAAATACGAAACTTAAGCGGAATGTACACGTTAGAGGAGGGAATAATCAAGGAGACTTTACTGCACTGTTAGGTGATGCTGCCCCAGAGTGTATCATCAGACATCTCTGTGCTTAATTACCCAACCAAAGAGATCTAAAGTATGTATGTTTGTTGTACTGTAATAGGGGTTTGTGCCTGGACAATTAAGTGTTTTATTTGTATTCTGAGATGATGTGAACTTATTTTTCTAAACACTATACTGAATAAACTTTATATTTATACACATCTTGTGTAAATATCTCTGTGTGGATAGCATGTGAGGGCTTTGAATTTTGAGTTTGAAAAGCAATCTAAAGTAGTAAGTTGGCTTTTAAGGACTCATCATGAAGGTGATGGCAACTAGGAGCGCCTGTGCTTGCCACAGATTTGATCTAAGCCCTACTTAAGCTAGAATGAGACTCTCTGTTGATTTGAGGGGGTTTTGTCAGACCCTAACTTTGCTTCTAAAATACTAAATTAAAACCCATAAATCTTACATCTCATATTGAACCTAGCTATTAAATCTGTGTCTCAAACCAAATTTATACCATAATTAATTAGATACTATTAAAATACATTTCCACCTGCTAGTTAGGACTAGTCAGTATTTACTTGTGGCTGCCATTGTGACATTGGCATGCATTCTATGTCAGGGCCTTTTTTTTGGGTAGGTGAATTCCTATTTGCTAAATTTGTGGTGGTTGAAATTTTTCTTTAAAAAAAAATTTTTCCCATAGTGTCAGACTTGGTTTTGGCAGCCTTTTGAGAACAGCTTGAAATTTTATGTTCCCTTGATATTAAAGGATTTAAACATATTACCATATTACTTTAGATCTGTGTTCCAAGTACCAGGATTACCTAGTCAAGATTTTGATGCCAAAATGAACGACAGTAAGTTCAAATAGACTAATCTGTACAGGTGAAACAGTTTCACTTGCTGAAGCTATATATTCATTAGAGGTAATTAACAGCCTGCACATGCCTCTTAAGTTCTATTTATGCCACAGGAAGCAAGGTGAGGTCTGAGAGATTTTTTTTTTATTAGCTCCAGTGAAAATGTAATACCCATTATGTTATTAGTCACTAAGACATTACCTTTCCCTACTGTTATTCACCATTCCTCCACCTTTCCCATTCATTGCAGCCATGTCCCACTCGCTCCACGCAGCTCCAGTGATGGTGGCAAGGCACAGGGAGTCACCTCCCAATCCCGGGAACATGTCCCCTCTCTGCTTGAGGCTGATCCAACTCGCACTCTGCAGCTGCCAAAGTAAATCCAGTTATCCAGGGGGAGCAGCCCTAAGGCAGAGAGAACCAATTGCCTTATTGCCCAATTCCTGTTTCCTCCCCAGGAGCAGCGCGCTTGGCTCAGTCCTGTTGGTAGCACTCCCCTGTGACATGCTTTGGTTTTTGCCTGAGCAGTAGGTCTGTGGTAATATTTTCCTGCCCTGCAGATACCAAGTTCCTAACTGATCCCTGGGCAGCAGCTCTGTCCCAGCTTTGCTTGGAGCAGGAGCTGAGGAGCTAAAGCCATCCTTCAACCTGGCTGCAAGCAGCTTCTCTCGTTTCTGCCTCCTAACGGAGCCCGGGGGGGGGGAAGACCACCAGGACCACCACTGCTGGCTTTGATCCAGCTGGAGGGAATCCCCTCTGGGAAGGCTTTTCTGGCTGTGCAGCCCTCATGCTCTCGAGCAGACGAAGTGCAGGGGTTGCAGAGCAAGAGAAGCGGAAAGTCTCAGCATATGCAAATGTCAGAATTCTCCCTGAGCAGCCACCCATGCGGTATGCAGGATGAATCATGTCCTAACTGAGCGCATTCCTGCTACTTTGGAGGGCTTTGCAGATGTGTTCCAGGTCACCCTGGGCGAGAAAACCACACACAGCCACAGCTCCTTCTTCCCTGGCAGTCTGTGCAGGGGGGACAGCACCTTTGGGAGGGTGGGCAGCTGGATCCCGGAGCCCCCGCCTTTCACACGGGGCCTGAGGATGCTGGAGGGAGGATGGGGGGCTGCCAAGGCGGTAGCTGGGATAGAGCTGATAGTGGGAAGTCTCAAGGAGATGAGCGGTTGCTCTTGATCTAGCAGGGAGACAAGCTGGGAAGGGAGACAATGTTGGAAGACAGCACTTATTATCCCCTATTTCTGGCTTGATCAGAAGGAAATTTCGCTGCTCCAAGAGGCAGAGGTTGGGTCAGTAAAACAGGATTTTAATATAAATACCCAAGGCTTGGAAAGCAGAGGTCTCCTCACAGGGCTGCATCCCCTCTTGTGGTGATCTCTGGCTGCAGAAATCTCTGGGCTGAAGTCTTAGTCCGGTATATGGATACAGATCACATTTTTAATATAAAAATACATTTTAGAAGGAAAATGATTCCCAGAAATGGGAATTCATCTGCCAAACAATGTGCACATAACCGACTTTATGCTTAGAGGTGCCAGAAAGTTCAGGAATGAGACCAACAATAAAAAACCAACACACGTGTGAAAAATCTACTGCATTAAAGCCAGATTCAATAAAAATAGCACCTAGTTTATGTGCTACAGAAGCTGGCACATGCCTCCAGAAGCTGAAGGAAAGAGATAAAATGCTCAGAAGTTGCATGCAGTCCAGAGGAACAGAGCAGCCCTGGAGCAGAGCTGATGGTTACTCAATAACTCATGTACGATATTCTCCTGTGTAAGTACTTCAATTCTTCATCCTGCTACTTCTCGGGCAGAAAGACACAGTCTGTAGTACTTGGGGCTGATCAATAAGCTTCACTGTTGGAGCCAAAGTGCTCTGTGATAGATCCTACATTACCCAAAAGGACTCCCAGAACGTTACACATCATTTTCTTTCCCAGTCCGCAAGCTGACAGCCCATGATTTCGGTGTTGATGGCATCCCTTACACTGCCTGCAGCTGTAAAACACAGCCCCTCCCCTGAGGCACTTAAAGTACACAGAAATCAAAGCAACCCAGGCTGGAATGGGAGAGGGGAGGAGGGCAGTGAGGGGAGGTGATGTGATGAGCTCAGGGCAATGCAGGCAGTGGGTGGCAGAGCCAGGTTGCAAAGCCAGGTCTCTGACTCCCCCTGTTGCTTTGCCCACTGGCTCATGCTGCCTCCATGGGAGCTCAATCCCACTTGGATGTGATGTCCCCTGAAAGCAGCAGAAGGACTTGCTGCTGACACCAAAGCTGAGTTTACTTCTTTTATTTATTTGCTGTGTTTACAGCCACCTCCTGGTGCCAACCAATAGCCCTGTCAATAACTAGGCTGGCCCTGGACCAGCACCCCTGAGCCTGCAAGCACTCAGGCTCCAGAGAAACTGCTCCTACAAACACAGACCCTGAAGGACTGACTCCCAGCCACCCACTTCCACATCAAGGCAATCTGAGAAACGTTCGACTCATCTCCCACCAAGTCCAAGAAGCCGAGGGGGGAGGGATGCTCAGGAGAGTGGGGAAGGGTTAGTTCGGAGCTTGAGCTGTGCATGTCCTAAAACAGTGGTTTCCTAAAATAATAAATCAACAACAAGTGAGAATTTACAGCTTACCCATGTCCTAGGAAAATGCTGGGGATTTTGCTGCTTACTGCTGCTTAGGCAAACCAAGGCAGGCAGGATCAGAAGGCAGATCTGGAACACAACACTCTGTACCAACCCGAGTACATTTATAAAGCACATAAAAATAAAAAGGTTGTCTGTGTTAAAAAACATTATCTGTTGTGCTGTATGCATGCAGGTATGCACTGACCAGACTAAGTCTAAAAGAAAATTCTTTATTTTGAGGTTCACTATGCATTTGTGTAAGAGGAGCAACCTCTGCTCCCTCTTGCAGGCAACATATAATATAACCAGGTCCCAAAACTCCGTGAGGGAACTGGGCTGAGGGTCAACACCCCCAGACAGGCACAGATTCCTGACCTGCTGCTGCTAAATGTGTTGGCCCCTCGCTCAGAGCCTGTGGCAGAAGAGCAGCAGAGGCAGCAGGGGCTGAGTGCCCCATTAGTGTTGGCCTTGAAGGAGAAGAAGGCTCAAACAGTATCAGTAAGAGAAAAAGCTGAAACCTCTAAGGGTGTAATATCATCTGCATGTGGAGGGATTTAGGCACAAAACACCCCTTAGTGAGGAGTCAAATTAGCTCCTGAAGGCTGCTATAGCCCTTTTCTTCCTCTTCCCTATAAATGTAGTGGTGTTCTCCCCAGAGCCTCAAAATATTGAGGTGGTTTTACTTCTTACACCACCTGCAGGGCTTGGTGTCCCCAAGATTTGCCACCAGGCCACTTTTACATGTCTGCCCACGAGGACAAGGGCTGGATACAGGACCACAGCAGGTCCATCCTCCCAGTCAGCAAGCACTGAGGTGCTTCAGCTGAGTCCCCACAGTGTCTTCCCCACAGCACCTTTTGTTTAGGACCTCTCAGGACCCCGCAGATAAATTCTGAAGGGGATGTTTAGGGGCTGCTCTCATTTGCCATCTTCCCCTCAACCCCCAGACCTCTTTCATATGAGGGTGGTGGAACCCAGGACTTCCAAAAACACCAGTACCTAGAAGCAGGCTGCTGACAGCAGCCTATTTCGAGGTATTGTTTTATCAGGAAGAGCCTGGAAGTGCTCCCAGAGTATGAGGAATGCTGCACATACCAGGCAGGGCCGCCTTGTACTGGCCAGCAGCACTGCAGGATGCCTGATCCCAGATCAGACCACGCCAGCCAGTCCTCCATGGCTCCACAACAATTTACTGGCCCAGGAGAGTGGTGCCAGGGGGACATTTGGCACCTCCTGCTACACATGGCAGGTCTCAGTGAATCCCTTCTGGCCTCAGCTTCTAGGAATAGCTTCCTATAGCTGCTGTGGGAGGGTTTTTGTGCAAACCAAAGGCAGAGTTAACCTGAACCTCAAGTCAGGAAAGCTTCATCCCATTCCTTCGGAAAAGTCAGTCCCAGCAAATGAGGCTACTTGACCAGTTGCTCTTGGTTTATCTTTGTTAACCAGTAATGGCAGCAAGTATTGCTCACATATACATGGTGAGAAGTGCTCCTGTTCCTTCCAGATTTCCCTACAAAGGTCTGAATTTTTACAGTTTGGGTTACAAAAGCAAGACTTGTTCAGGTGAATGACATTCACAGCAATCAAGGATTAGTCATTTGCTGATGGACTGAGGACCAGCCCCTCAGATTAAAGTACAGGGTAGAGCCTATTCCTGTTCATTTCTTAGCTATTCTCAAATCTGAGGATCTTTTTAGAAGCCATAATAAATTAAATA